CGTGGGTCCTAAACTAGTTTTATAATAAATATCCAGGGACTGGCTATTGAGCCATTTAAGAGACTAGCTTTGTGGAGCAGTTTAACATCAACTCCATGTAAAAAATGTTTCATATAGACACGGACGGTGCATGTGCTTTATCTACTCAGATGGCACGATACATCGCTTCCCGAATTTGAATCACCCTCGTCGCCGTCTTCAAGGCGAGTAGCATACAAGGCATACTTCCTTAAATCTATTTATAAAGCTAAGAAAAACATTTTTCTTAATTTTATTTATAAGTTATTTTATTAAAATTTTAGTATGAATGTATTATTTTATTCTTTATTTATTATAGTATAGATAATTATTATTTTAAAAAAAAACCGTATATACTTCTCCGGTCCTTAATATAAGACCCATTTAACTAATTTGATTAGATTAAGAAAGTTAGATAAAATAGTTAATTATAAGAAATGTGACACGTTTTTCCTAAAATACCATAATCATCTTTTTTAATATCTTCTCTTCTTCCTCTTCTACTTAATTATAGTTGAAAAATATCTATATGAGTAATTTAGAAAATTGATAAATATGATAAATGAGTCTTATATTTAGGATCAAAACCAACTCATAATTGGGTTTATATTAAGGACTGGAATGGTATTAAATATGGATAAAATTAAAAATTTATTATGTTTTAATAAAAAAAATTAATACGGTTTAAGCTTTTTCTTGATTTATTGAAATATATTGGAATTGTTTTATAAATAGGAACAGATTAGTATAGTGCTCATATTAGTTCAAACCTTTTTCAAAATGTCTAATACTGATTAACAAATTATCGTAATGATGGTGCCTTGAACGGTCAAGAACTGAGAGCAACGTTACACAGTTATTACTTCAATTGAAGTACGAGAATGCATGCGTTCCATATGGGTAGAGACGGAAATAACGCTGCAGTAATGGATTGGATCTGTGCTCAGGTAGTTGTCAGAACCAATATACACACTAACTTAGCATGCCTAGTAATTTGTTTAATTAAGTCCATTGGTTTCTTATGATACCTCTCTCTCTCTTTGGAAAGGATTATTCAGGCATTGACATGTTGATCATGATATCGAGAAATCTTAATCAATTGTGAGTTATTTTAAAAGTCTACCAATCATTTTGAAAAAATTTAGGAGTGTTATTCAAATTTAATAATCAATTCCATCTTACCAACGCTATAACAAGGTTTTATTAGTAGTGAATTTAAATTTTTATAGGAAAAAAATGAAGGTATTAATCACAAAAGTTAATTAAAAGATAATCATGAGGGGGAAAAAAACAAATGTCATTGGCAGATTGAAAACAAGTGCTGAACTAAACAAGGCTAACTAGGTAAGATTTAAAATATTAGTAAGGATATAATCCCAAAACAATGAAACAAAAAATTATGAAATCGGTGACATGTTGGCTTTGAAATCAATGCAATACAACAACACAGCAAAAATTAACTTTTGTTGTTAGTTTTATTAAATATCATATATTTTAATAAAAATTATCATTATCAATATCAATATAAGTGAGTAAAAGTTTTCTTTTGGTCCTTTAAATCTAAATACTATGTTATCTTAATCTCTATCTTTCAATTAAATGACAATTTTTTTGTAACAATTAGTCTTATTTCATAATAATAATTTTTTGTAATAATTAGTCTTATTTCAAAAATTAAATTTTATATGTGCGCATTTGAAAATATTTTTCCCTCTAAAATTCTAAAGCTTTAATATTAGAATTTTTAATGGCTTTAATATTAAGACTAAAAAAATACTTTATAAATATTATACAAGGTTACAAAATCAAAAATATAAGTGTACTTTTGCCATATTTTATATTAAGGTTAAAGTATATATTTGATTCTTTAATTTATATCAAGTTTTAGTTTTTGCCTTTTAATTTAAAAAGCATATTTTTAGTTTTTTTTTAATCTTAAAATTATTAGTATTAAATAATAATTTTTATAATAGTCATAGTTATTTTGAAAATTAAATTTAATATTAACATTTGATAACATTTTATCAACATTTAAAATCTCAATATTATTTTTAAATGATTTTAAGATTAAAAAACTAAAATTATATATTTTTAAAATTAAATCTTGTGTAAAATTAAAAGAGTAAATGTTGTTTTAAAGCCTTAAATATAAACTATAAAAGGCAAATGAAGGCCCAATGTTATATCTATTTGTTAAACACCATATAATGAAAATATCCAATAATATTGGTTAAGCTAAAAAGAATGCCTCATACAATGACAAATGACATGTCACTCTCCATATGAAATAATCGGGCGTCCAGTGGAATAAAAACGTTACAGAATCAAACAAACACCAAAAATCGGAAAAAATTAAGGGTGTGTTATATTACTTCTTTAATATAAAGTCAGTTTAATATTTAATTTAATTCTAAATATAAGATCCCTAATTTATTTTGTCTTTTATATTTATTTATTTTTTAAATAAACATTATAATTATTGTGTATGTTAGATGTTTCATCACATGATTGTTCTACTAATACACATTATTAGCAAAAACATTTTAGGAGAAATAACATCTATTTATTATAATAACTAATTTAATAAGCTTCCTTAATCTATTTAATTAGTCAAATAATTCTTATAGTAAAAATAAGAAGTAACATATTAGATTTTAACTGTTGGGATGACGTTGCTCTTTTTTTAGTATTTTTCTAAATGATATTGAATTATAAAATTTTTTTGAATACTATACTTGCAAAATAATCCTTATCCCTTTAATTAATTATAAGTTATTTACTGTATCAAAACCTAGCGGAGATTAATATTAATGTCACCTCATGAAAACGTAAAAAATATTTTTTTATTAAATATAGGTGTCTTCTACTATCTTATTGAAGTTAATCTGATTCGAGTTGCATTACGCCAGCGTGCCAGGGAGCTTTCGCTGAGTTGGCCGTTGCAAACGTGGGCTCCTTTGAATTCGCCTCCTTTATGTGCCCCGGGATGGGGGGGGGGGTCCATACTCTTTTTTTTGCTAATGAGTATTTTCAATACAATAATGATTGTAGACAGGGTATTTTATGAAAATTAACATATAATTTTTTTCCAAATAATTAACATATTTCAGGGTCATAACCAACATCTCCTCTGGAAATATTTCTTAGATATTTTTACATTTTAACCCAATATCTTTATTTTAATTGTACCTAACCTTTTTTTTTTTTTTAGAAAAAAATTACACAGTAATTTAAATATAGAGAGATGACACAAAAAAAAAAGCTAAAATTATAAATCCCAAATAAGATTTAGTACAACACTTTATTTGGTACTGGCAATATTAAATTTGCAAATAATAACAAATTTTTGTTGACATTCCTTATTTAGTATCTTTTAAATTTTTCAGTTTTTTTTTAATCATTTTTCCTAATTCACTTTAATACAATGAATGTCCATTGTTGATGTTGATGCCTTGCCTTATCCACTTATTAGAGTGATTACAATTATCAAACTCTGCCATTGCCGGTGGTTGGAGACTGTTATAAATATAAAATGTATAGAAGAAAAAAATTATTCATCAATTTATTAATTCGTAAATTGTTTGTTACTTTTTTTTTTCTATCTATATTGCATTTATGGGATGAAAACCCCTTTATTAATGAATTTGTAAATTATGCATTTGAAGTTCGGATTTATGGAAGAAGATATGGTGGGCATATGAATTATGGTGAAAATTACACATTAGCAATAAAAAATAACAGCCTAATAAAATAATATATCAACATTGGCAAACAAAAATAAAGTAACATATCTAAAGGATAGAAAACCTCGCACGTAACGGCATCCTCTTATACTATTGTACTGCTTAATACTTATCCTTTGAATAAAATCTAAGCTAATCTAATTCATTCCTACTTTAACTTTATATAGAATTTTAATTTGATTTCTTAATGTTAAAATAATATATTGTTAACTTTTTAATGTTAAAGTTATTAATTTTAAATAATAATTTTTTTATAGCAATCATGATTATTTTAAAAATTAGACCTAATATATAAACTATTTGATAATATTTTATCATCGTTCAAAATTTTAATATCATTATTTTTTTAACAGTTTTAGAATTGAAAGAAAATTAAAAAAAATATTTTTTTAAAATTAAATGCCTAAATTAAAAACTTTACATGAAGTTACGAAAATAAAAGTATATTTTAGTTTAAAAATTTCATTTGCAAAATTTTCAAATAACTCTGTTTCATCTTTTTGAACAAAAGATATTCTCACATCAACATCAATTGATTTTTTTTCCAGACACTATCAATTGATTACAACTTATAAATGGTTAAAAATGGTATAGCATTCAAGGTTAAAAAAAAACAATGTTATATTATTTTAAGTATCATTAACTTAATATTAGTCCGAATTTATAAATTTATTTACTATAAATTTTTATAGACATTAGCCAACTATACAACGGAATTATCCCCCCCCCCACAGAAAAAGGGACTATCTTATTTTTATTATTTTAGCAACGCTATTTAATACAATTGATTTGCTCGGAATCATTCACATATAAGTTGCAAGTATAACTACTTTGATGCGTGGACAAAAACTGAAGGAGTCAAATTTCTATTGTGTTATTTGTCATGGCTTTTTATTAAGAAAATTTTTATTATTTATTTCAAATATTCTAATATAAATATAATATAAGAAAAAAAGCAATGTCACTTTTCATTTTAAGATAACAAAAAAAATTTAAAAAAATATAAACTCACACCTAACGTCAAAGAAATATCCATGAGGAAGCAGCCAAAGTGGAAGACAATGCGTAGGGACTAAATAATCAAATTTATTTATTTTTTAAAAAACTTTTTTCAGAAATTTCATAAATACTATTTATCACCAACTTTTTCTTCGTCTTCATTTTTAGTTTTTTAATATGAAAAACAAATTTAGAACACTAAACGTTAATATAGTTTAGTCAATTCTCTACAGCTCTGAGACCCGGTTGTTTGATGTTGAAGAAGGAGACTCTCTGCATCAAAAGGAGGACAAATGGAAGGGAAGAAGCACCAATAGCTCATCGCGTAAAACGACTGCCTTGTGCAGAGAAAGAGACATTCTTCTTCATGTTTTAAATATTTTCAATTCCTTTCTTTCATCCTGGCTGAATTTCCTGCTCTTTCAAGGCAAGTGATTTTTTTTTCTCTTCCCGAATTGTTCTCAATTTTCTGGTGTTTGTTTAATTCTCAATTGTTTTGGTTTCCCATTGGGTACTTGATTTTTCATCTGGGGATTCCTTAGGTGCTAATGATGAAGTCTCTTTCTTTTTTGGCTCTTTCGTTTCTTAGGTTGACGGAGAATTGGCGAATTCTGATTTTGCCTGTTATTTTTCCGATCTTTGTATGATTTCTCGATGCTGCATGTAATAATAGAATTTCACTGGAGTTTATATGAACTGGAATTAGGAATTAGGAGAGGTTCACTTATGAATTTGGATATTTGTTTCAGGATAATTCAAGGTTTGTCCCTGGCAGATTGGGTTTTCCTGCAATAATAACAATTTCCCCTTCATGTGTTCAAATATGATTGATTGAAATATATTGCAATCTTGACTTCAATTCCCCAGTTTCTCATAGCATATGAACAGGGTATTTTTGCGATTTTTGGTGTTTTACATTATTCAGATTTTCAAATTAGAAACCCTATCTGGGAAATTTTACATAGTTCAGGATCATTGATATTGCAAAAGAACATTTCTCCAATGCATATTTGTTGGACACAGTGCTTTAAATTAAACAAATGGAGAACTTGCTGTGCTTCATAGTCCTGCAAGGGTCATATTTTCATTTGATCCCGTATTGCTATTGGCTTCTGATTAGAACATTTTGGTCCAGGAAATGATGGTCTTCTGTTTATGATTTGCATAGCAGGGATTTTGAGTATCTCTTGAACAGCTGAAGGTTTGTCCTGCAACCTATCCTCTGAATCCATGGAGAAAGGTAATCAAACCTCAGTATATTATATTTATAATTCCATTTGTTCAGTTGTTCTTCTGAAAGACAGTTTCATGGTAATTTCACTGTAAAGGATGCAACTTGATACGCTTATAATGCAATTTCACCTTTGGTGTTACAGATCCTAAGGTAGAAGAGACTATTGATTTGAAAAAAGGTGTTGAATTGACAAAATCAGTCTCTGAAAAGCATCGGGATCTTTTGAGACCATCAGCTCGATATTATTCAATATTTAAAGGTAAAAATCCCTCTCGTTGTTTAATAGGCAAGATATCTGAAATCCAAGATGCGCTTTTAAAGGTTTGCATTCTGTTTTCAATTACTCCTTTGTTGTTCTCTGGCATGATTTGCAAGTTATGAGTCACTTATTCCAATTAGATTTCATAGAAAGCTTGGATTAGCTTATCTGTGGTTCCAAAATATTTAATTCGTCCTCTGTTTTTCTCCTCTTTTAGTGGGGGCATCACACCGTTATGGGGTTTAATTTGTCTTCTAGAATCTGCTTTAGGACATGTTGTTTTCCAAAACATGACAAAATTGGTAGATATTTTCACAATATAGCTGCTTGGTTCATTTTCCCCCGCAACTCCCTTGGTCCCTTAAACTATGAAGCCCTGGGCCAATTTTTTTATCAGGAAGTTGCCCTTGTTTACAGATATTAAAAGAACCAATGTTGTATCACCACATGATTGCTTAAAGTTTTTTAAGTTGAATCAACTTTTGACATGTTATTAGAACCTCTATCAAGTAGCCAGGATATGATCCTTGCCTTCCACATTTTTCTTGTTCATTCAAGTATTAGCACAGAGGTCGGGAAACTTGAGCCTTTCATGTGATGGGGCTTGCTAAAGAAATTAATAAAATCATTGGCCTTCACTAAACTTCTTTCAAGTTGAATTGACCCTTGACACCATTCATAGTATGACTTTTCATAGACCTGGGTCAAGTGTTTCAAGTTAAATGATGTTCAGGCTTCTGTAACAGCAATGCTAATCCCCTAGCAAATGTGCCTCTTTATATTCAACATTTTAATGTTTTGACAGCTTTTCTTTATGAGCACTAATTGGTTTTACGGCCAACTGCAGATCGGGAAAAGGGCAAGTATGCCCTACTGAGAGATCCAGAGGATTATCAACAAGGACTTTATGACAAGCCTCTTCCATTTTATGGATGTGGAATTGGATGGTTTTCGTAAGTAACTTTCATCAACTCTCTTTTCCAATTTCTATGTTCTTGTCTCATGGCTGTTTATGTTGAGTTCCAGGTTTCTCTTGGGATTTCTTTGCCCAGTTATGTGGTTTTATGGGACAATTCTCTATTTTCAAAAACACTATCGGAAGGATCCAAGAGAACGTGCAGGGCTCGGAGCTTCTGCAATCGCTGTACACTCTCTCTTGCCCCCCTCTCTGTCTGTTTGTGTGCTCATATGATGCCTTAGAATGAGATCAATCATATTATTGAAGTAGTAAAGCTTTTGATGTGGAAGAGAATGCAGCATAGGGAGTTGGGTTGTGAGCATTCAGGGGGTTCATTTCTTCTTTTTCCACCAATTATCTCTTTTCTCTCTCTTTAGAACACTTTTCAAGCATGTAACTTGGATAATCAAAGTCCATTAAAACACAGTTGTGTTCTTGTAACCTCAGAAATGTACAGCTGTGTCATAGTTAGCTCAGCTCATCTCAGATCAGGCAAAAAGGATGTTGGTAAAACTTGTTTTTGCTATATAAACTTCCATCAATGGAGAGTCCAAAACCCCCAGGGAGGGAGGGAGGGAGGGAGAAGAGATAGTGAGCGAGGGAGGGAGGGAGGTGCCATTTTGATGGGATTTTTAAAAGTTCTTTCCTTTATTTGCATGGATATGTTGAACAATATAGATCATCTTTTCACTTCGTACTTTTCTTGGAAAATGATAGCGCAAAATACTTGGAAATTTGATAGCCCAAATGGAGGCAAGACAATGTTAATGTTTGTATGAAAATCGAGAAATATAACATTATGTATCCATGGTGGTTTATGCATACTAGATGAGTTTCCCTTGTATTATACGGAACTTGAAGAATAAGTCACACTATTCGCAACTTATAAATACTCATGTTTTGTCATTGAATATTGGTTTATTGATATTGTTTATCCGTTATTGGTCAATAAAATCATACTGGACCAAGAATAATAACTATGCATCCCTATTGATTACTAAGAGTGACATTTTGATAATCTTGCAGGCACTGTTATGCTCGGTAGGGTTGCTGGTTACGGCAGCCATTCTTGCATTAAAATTTGGATTACGGCCTTCATAAGTGAAAGTACAGCACAAATTCATATCGATTACCATTGATTTGCAGCAAAGACTGTGCTTTGTATATAGCAATTTGCAAATTATAGGATCAAAATGGCTTTCATATTATGCTGGGAGTGGAACAGGAGACTGCCATCATAAAAGTCCTCTAAAATCTGTAATCCTTTTGTTTTATAAGTTCTTTGAAATCCATCTGTTATGTGTATGTGAAAGTAGGGTTTTGAGCTGCTCTCCTGTTGTTCCACCTCAGTGACTTGAACGACAAATCAACAAGTGACGCTTCCTCATGCCCTTAAATTAGTTCTTCGATTTGATGATGTAATAACAATCATTGCTGACATTGCTACCTGCCATGATGATGCGGAAAAATATTTTCTTAACTGGTAGGTGATACCAAGAGAAGACTCTCATTCAATAACATAATTGGGATTCCGGATTGGATTATGATATGGTTCTGAACGGGAAAACTATGGGATCCCCTTGAAATTGTGTTTGGTGTGAGGAAAAAGCTTTTCTATTGGCATTCTAATGGGGTGGTAATGCGGTTGGCCCGCAGCAGCCTTGGGCCAGAAAGGCCCACTTACAGCCGGACTGATTGAAAGCCAACCTGAGCCTACCGCATTTATTAACCTTTTTTCAAAAACCTATTTTTTGATTGGAATACTTGATGGAAAACGCCTAAAGAATTATATAGACATTTTTTCAAAAAAAAAAAATCAAAGGAGACATGACATATAATGATATAATTATAATAATTAATAAAATTTTAAAAAACCAAATTAATGCATGTTAACTTTGGGGTTAGTGGTCTAACTCATCTGGGGCTGTGGTCTTGCGGGCATGAGAGTGTGAAAAAGGTATGCTTTCAAATAAGTTGGCTATTAGCTAACTTGAACCCATTGGTTTTGACATGTTGGCGAATTGAACTCATGGACCCAACTTATATTGCTAGCTCTTAACAAGTCATTTTAGATTGTTGGTGTGAAAAATGAGTGTCAAATTAAGAGAATTACTTCTAGGTTTTTGCTTTTCCCTCCACAAAAAAGGGGCTTTCTTCCTAATTCTATCACTCAAGCAAAAAAAAAAAAAATTCTTTCCTTTAATCATGGATGGGAACATTATCTTTTTATTGCTTTTTTTAAATTTCAATCCAATTTCTACCCCAAAAATATTTCCAATGCCTGAAGCGAAACAAAGACGTGACTTTTTCTCTTTAATGATAAAAAAAATAACTATTAATGATTTTGACAAAAAAAAAATCCTTGTTTTATTTATAAATTAAAGAAACAACTTTTTTCAGTCTTGTTATAAATCATTTTATTAAATTATTTTTAAAAAGGTATAATTTTATCCTTTATTTACTATTATATACTGTTAATTTTTGGGGAAAAAGTGTGTGTTAACTGTTAAGTAGGAGTAAAATTAAAATGATAGTATTAAATTTAAAGAGAATTAACAATGCTAAAATAAGCTAGAGGAAAAGGCAAGCACTCCATTTCAAGCATGAATCTGTATTCCCTCCTCATCGAATGGTCATGCCCCAACGGCAATGAGATACCATCTTTTCTTCTTCTTCTTTTTTCCCGCCAAATTTTTATTAATACTCCCTCCGTTCCTTATTATAAGAGACATTTGATGCTTATGGCATGTTCCTATATATAAGAGACACTTACAAGTTGTCTCTACTTTTTTGTGTTAATTTACTATTTTACCCATATTTATTATCTCCAACTCACACTCTCTCTCCCTCTCACTTCTCTTTCTTTTAATAATTTAATTGTTCTCTCTCATGCTCTCTCTCCTTATTAATGAGGGCATTTTTGGAAAAAAAATTATACTTTTTACACATTAATTGTTCTTAACTAATTTTAACTGTTTTTTTGATCAACGTACTTCGGTTATTTGTCTCTTATAATAAGGAACGGAGGGAGTACTATTTTTTATTTATTTCAATTAACTTGTATCCGATATTTTAAAATATTTTTTAACAACAATTATTATTTTAAATTAATTAATTTTTAGTGTATCAAGAGTGTTTTTTTCAGTTAGTAAGGCTACTAGAAAAATACTTTAATATACTAAATGCACTAACAATTGAGAAATACTTCGAGTGCTGAATTTCTTAAAAATTAATTAATTTAGAAAAGTAAATGTTATTAAAAAAATATTTTAAAATACTGAATGCACTAAAAGTTAATTAATTTAGGACAGTGGATGTTATTGAAAAAATTCCAAATGCTGGATTCATGAAGAAATAATTAATTTTATATATTGAGTGTTACTGAAAAAATATTTTAAAATATTAAATGTACTAAAAATTAATTAATTAATTTAAGATATTGGATGTCATTGAAAAATTACTTCTAGATGCTTAATTCACTAAAAATAATTAATTTAGGACATTGGGTGTTATTATAAAAATATTTTAGAATATTAGATGTACTAAAAATTAATTAATTGAGAATGCTAGGTAGCCGCTACTGAAAAAAATACCTCAGGATGATAGACTCATTGAAAAAGAATTAATTTAAAATACTAGGTGTTACTAAAAAAACATTTCACAATGCTAAATTAAAAATAAATTAATTTAGGATATTGAGTACTGGAAAAAAATATTTTAAAGTGCTAGATACAAGTTAACGTTGATAAATAAAAAAATAAAATTAATAGAAATTGTTTTTTTAAAAAAGGAGGAGGGTTATATCATCTCATTCGCTCAACATGACATGTAGACTCAAATTAGATTTAAAATCATTTATAAGCATATTTCATGTATGTTGAAGTAAAATTTTTCTCATATACATACTTTCTATTTTACAAATCATGATTTAAAAGCTAATTATAAATTATTTTAAACAGGCCTCATACCTAATCAGATGCAAAAACATATACTACCTTAAGTCTTTAATAATATAAGACCTCATTTGAATTTTATTTTAGTCTTAAATAAAAGATTCGAATTTACTTTGTCTTTCATATTTATTCATTTTTAAAGATATTTATTCTAATAATAGTAATTCTAATCAATAAACTTAATTAGCAAGGATATTTTTTTAAAAAACACCTATTTATTATAAATAATTAATTTAATTTATTTTTTTAATCTATTCAAATTAATTAACTAGTTCTTATATTTAGAACTAGAAGTAGTATATATTAAGAATACCCTACCATATTTTTTTAGGATTAAAATGTAATTTTAACAATAAAATTTTTACATATAAACATGGGTCATCATCAGGTTTGCTTGAGTGCAGTACTGCCGTTACTGTATATCCACGGGGCAGTCCCACGCTCCCCCCCCCCAAAAAAAAAAAAACCTTCTCTCTCTCTCTCTGTTTATTCTCCGATAATTCCTCCAGGTTCATGTGGCCATGGAATCAAGTAAACACAGTATGGCTTGGTCACTGAAATCTGGTAAAAATGGGGAAAAAAAATTTTCAGTATATCAATTAAATTGATTTTAAAATATAAAAGATCAAAATGCACTTAAAAAAATAACTCTGCAAGAAAAAAAAGTTGGGGAAATCACAAATAAAGACCCTTCAATATGCAAAATAACAGATAGGTCACCTGAATAAGTGAAATCACTCACAAGGACCCGGTCTCAAATTGTAATTATGAAATCATGGCCAAATTACCAAAATACCCCTCTTTAATTTTTTTTTTAAAAGAAAGCCACTGCCTCACCGGAATCCGGCCACCGGCGCCGGAGCTCTGGCAGCCGCTTCCGACCATTGCCGGCGGTCGGCCGGCGGCCGCTTTCGGCGGCCTTCCTTTGTTTTTTTTTTTTTGCAACTGTTTTTTTTTAAATAGTGGGGAAAGTGAGGTTGGTGGGATTTGATCTCCCAACCTAATGCTTCCCGAAATAAGGAATGACCATTGAGCCAACAAATTTTTGTTAGCATTATCATGCAAAAAAAAAATATAAATTAACTCATTTACTCTTGTTCCAGGTGATAACAACAATACATTTGGAAATAACAAGTTCTGATTGTAAAATAACACGTCTAGAATAAAAATTTAACAATATGTTTTTTTTATAACAATAAATTATGTTGTAGGTAATAACAACAATACATTTAAAAATAACAAGTTCTGATGATCAAATAACAAGTTTGGGATTAAAATTTAACAACACGTTTTTTTTTATAATAATACACTTTGTTTCAAGTGATAATAAAAATACATTTAAAAATAACAAGTTGTGATTATAAGATAACAAGTCTGGGATTAAAATTTAACAACACATTTTTTTTATAACAACACACTTTGTTTCAGGTGATAACAACAATACATTTGGAAATAACAAGTTCTGATTGTAAAATAACAAGTCTGGAATTAAAATTTAACAGCACCTTTTTTTTATAACAATTAATTATTTTATACTTTTGGAAAATAAATTATTTATAACTTATAAAAAGTACTTGTAATCTATTTAATTTGCTAAAAAATAATTTTATCTCCAATTTATAATCAGAACTTGAAGTATAATTTTTATAGATTAAAAATACTTTTTATTGTTCAAATTTATAAATAAAACTTAGGGAAAATGGCAATACGCTTTTTTAATTTTTTTAAAAAATTTTTAATCTATATATCTATACAACTTATTATAAATCAAACTACTTCTTATAAATTATAAATAGTACAATTTATTGTGGATTAAAAATACTTTTTGACTGCTTAAATTTATAAATGAAATTTATCTCTAATTTATAATTAAAAATACTATTTTATTCTTTAAATATAAAAACCATTTTTAATATTTAAAGAATGAAATAATATAAAATTTATACTATGATTAATAGATTAAAAATGCCTTATTATAAATACTTTATAATTTATAAGAAATAGTTTGATTTATAATGAGTTGTATAGATATACAGATTAAAAAGTATTTTTTAGAGAAATAAATATATTAAAAATATTTTTTATAAGTTATAAATAATTTATTTTTTAAAAGTATAAAATAATTAATTGTTATAAAAAAACATGTTGTTAAATTTTAATCCCAGACTTATTATCTTATAATCAGAACTTGTTATTTTTAAATGTATTGTTGTTATCACTTGAAACAAAGTGTATTGTTATAAAAAAAACGTGTTGTTAAATTTTAATCTCAAACTTGTTATTTTATAATCAGAACTTGTTATTTTTAAATGTATTGTTGTTATTACCTGCAACAAAATTTATTGTTATAAAAAAAACATATTATTAAATTTTTATTCCAGACATGTTATTTTACAATCAGAACTTGTTATTTCCAAATGTATTGTTGTTATCACCTGGAACAAGAGTAAATGAGTTAATTTATTTATTTTTTTTGCATGATAATGCTAACAAAAATTTGTTGGCTCAATGGTCATTCTTTATTTTGGAAAGCATTAGGTTGAGGGATCAAATCCCCCCAATCTCACTTCCCCCACTATTTAAAAAAAAAACAAAGGAAGGCCGCCGGAAGCGGCCGCCAGCGCCGGAGCTCCGGCGCCGGTGGCCGGATTCCGGTGAGGCAGTGGCTTTCTTTTAAAAAAAAAAATTAAAGAGGGGTATTTTGGTAATTTGGCCATGATTTCATAATTACAATTTGAGACCGGGTCCTTGTGAGTGATTTCACTTATTCAGGTGACCTATCTGTTATTTTGCATATCGGAGGGTCTTTATTTGTGATTTCACCGAAAAAGTTTTTAACTAAAATTCCCTTTTTTAAAATAATAATTTAAAATTTGATATTTTCAAAAAAATATATTTTATAAAATCCACAAATAGTTTTAATGCTCCTTCGGTCCTTAATATAGAACCCAATTGTTGAGTTGATTTTAGTCCTAAATATGAGACCCATTTCTTATATTTATCAGTTTTCTTTAAATTACCCCTATGGATACTCCCTCAACCATAATCAAGTAGAAGAGAGAGAGAAGCTATTAAGAAAGATGATTATAGTATTTTAAGAAAAATATGTCATATTTCTTATAATTAACTAATTCACCTAACTTTTTTAATCTAATCAAATTAGTTAAATAAATCTTATATTATATTAAGGATAAAAGGAATATATATATTTTAAAACTTCTAAGTTTAGGCTCTTCACATTAGGTGGCAGGTTGGGAGACACAAATTGTGAAAAGCAGGTATCCGCCACATTCCAAGGCATCCCCCGACCTAAACCCAGTACGTTTCAGCATTTTTATGTGTATGTTGTCGGTATCAGTTGCAGAATTTTCATTACCATCAATAATAACCTTGGCCTCACGATCATCATTATCTTCTCCATTATTCAAAAATAGAATCGTCATCAATCCTTTCACCTTATCCCTTTTCTTCTAGTTTATTATTATTATAATCATCTTTTTCAGAATTAATATATAATTTATCAGTACAATGTTTACTTTTATCACAATTATCAATATCTTCAATATATACGGTGAAAATTTTTAAAATTAAAATACAAATATAATAAAATCAAAACAAATAGAAACTAAACTAAATAGTATAAATAGGTAATTGGTCATGTGAAGACTAAATCCTGAAATAATATTTAAAAGTTATTAAAGATAGCACGTGTGTGTGCGTGAGATGATTTCCCAAAAAAACCGTGCTGCAATTTTCAAAACAAACCATATCTATATGTAATTTACTTTGTTTGATGATATTTTGATGGTGCTCCAAAATATGAAGCAAGCCAATAAATTGTCAGTGGCCTCGTGGACTAATTTTAGCCATAATATATTTAGTGAACAGCCAGTATGCCATGCTCTCTGGCTCTGACGCAATAATACCCAGCAGGCCAAATTCTCTAGGCTCTGCTGCCAAATTTGACTTTGGGACAAAACAGAAGAACATGAAAAATTAGTACAGCGCGGCCCCCACGCAATAAGTCGTTTTCTAGTCGCGGTCTTGATTTTTTTTTTTTGGATAAAAATTGTGTAACGGTAAAAATAAAATTTAAAAATTTAATAGAATGAAAAGTAAAATAATAAATAAAATTTATTTTAATATAAATTTCAGATAAAAATAATATGTTTATAATTTTTTTAAAACATTTCTATCGGCATTAACTAATTAAATTAAACTGTGTTTTAGAAATAGAATGTAATTGTCATAAACTAAAAAAATAGTCAAAGTACTTTACTCTCGTTAAAATTCCACCTTAATCCGTTTCTTTTAATATTATTTTTGTTCCTTGCATCGTTTTTGAAACCCGCTGTCTACGCTTTTATATTGAGAACGCCGCTTTCCACCGTTCGGCTTAGGAGCTGCTTAGTGCTTACCATTATATGTTGACTATTGAAGTCGTTTAATTTAGCTACTAATAAAATCATCACTTATAAAAAAATTAAAATTATTTTAACCTTTTTCTATGATTTTAAAAATAAAAAATATTATTATAATATTAACAATAATTCTTTTACCAAAAAAAATATTAACAATAATTCTTCAAATCTCAAGTGAATTTTTTTTGAGCGGAATAATAATACTCTGCATTAATACTCAAAAACCAGTACAAGCACTGACCAGAAACTGAAGCAACACAGAAAAATGAGACTAACAGAATAAAAGCAGCTGACATTAAATGACAAAGAAACACAGCTGCTAACTAGCCTATGCCAGATCTTTCCCCCACATCCTCATGAGAGTTCGTCACATCCAGATACAGCACAGACTCCAAAGAAGGTGGTGGCTCACAAAGCCAACCTTTCGGTACCATACTCCTCATAGCATCAGCTGCCATAAGATCAGCAGCTTTGTTCCCATTCCTTGCAACCAAAGATAAATGCCAATTCTGCCTTGCCTGTAGCATTGAGATACACTTCTGCAGGATGTCTTCACAACCCCATTCACAGCCCTTTACCTCCTTTTTCTGCAATTTATCAAATAAGACTTGACAATCAGTTTCAACAATTACCTCACAATTGCCTATTCTGTCATAGCTATTCAAAGCTTCCATTACTGTCATACTTTCAGCAATGAAAACCAAATCAGCATTAATTTTTTTTCCCAAACCCCCAACAAATCCTCCCTTATCATCCCTTGCTACTAATCCCACGGCAGCCTTACCTCTTTCCTTACAGAAGGCAGCATCGACATTATTCCTTTCCACCCCTGTCTCAGAAACACGCCTCCTCTTCTTATCATTATCTGCATCCCAGAAATCACATACCATTCTCATAGCTCTGCCAACACATCCAATAGCATCCACCTCCTTACCTTCAAAAACGAACTGGCACCTTGACTTCCAGATTTCCCAGCAGATTATAGCAAAAAGGGCACAACTATAGTCATCAGGCCCCTCCTTAATTTTCAACCACTCATCCAACCATAAATCAATTCTCTTCATACCTCTCTCGTCGAATCTTAATGATAAAGGGGAACCAAACTAGACCTGCATAGCCCAAGGACACAGAAACAACATGTGTTCAATCGATTTTCAACCTGCCAATAACCTTGTTTTAAGAATAATAAACAATAAAAGAAGTTTCCTTTTTATTTAGTCCTTTAATTTTATGTAAGGTTTTAATATTGTCCCTTAACTTTAAAAAGTATGCTTTTAGTCCTTTGACCCTGAAACCATCAACAAAAAATGATGACATTTGTTGATAAAACATGCCCAAATTCTAACAATTTTCGAGTTAAAGGACCAAATGCATCATTTTTAAAGTTAAAGGACCATATTAAAACCTTACATAAAATTAAAAGACTAAATATATACTCTAGCTTTTGTTTATGTGAAAAGAGAGATTTTATTGACAACTAATATTTTAAGAGATTCTAGCTTACACACACTCTAGAGTTCCACACAGTTTGTCCCGGTGGCTCATTCAAACTTCTTTTTCATCCATTGAAGAAAACTACGTCACCTGATTGTAGAAGAAGCAAAAGGAATTGATACTAAATTTTTCCTTTTCAGATTCAGAACTAGTATACTTTATTATTACTTGATGATTATATCTTAAACTAAATTCTATTTTGACTCTATGATATTCACAATAAAAGCTCCCAATTAATGACCCAAATTAATTTCTCAAATGAACTCTTAGAAATCACCGAAAATTAATTGATAACTCTTAAAAACATGCTCAAAATATTGTTTAAAACTATTCAAAATGAAGATGTGTCACTTACTATGCAAGTTGCAATTTTAATAATTGAGCTGTGCGCTAAACCAATATGTTTTGCATTAAATCGCCCGAGCAAGGACAAGGGCAAGGGTGTTGCGTTTTTAAGGTGTGTCAGTCACCGACTTGGAGTGGCGTTGTCCATACCTCAGCTTATTCTCTCCAAATTATATCTTTCCTTCTTGTGAAAACTCTTCATGATCGACAATGTCCATTAACCTAATCCCAGATAAAGATGAGGTCGAATACTTCTGGTGGAGAAACCTGGGATTCCTATCGAGTATCATTGGCCTGTTATCTTATCGTCTGAGTTCCTCTTTTCACTTTATGTTTGGAGAGATGAACACTTGGAAGACTCTTCTGTATATTTTTTTGAGTCTGATCTTTCCCTACAGTATCTTCTTCGTGAAGACATGGAAACCTCTCCAGAATTTATTGTTCAGATCTCACCTAGCATTCCTGGTCTTGCTCCTCTCCTCAATTTACTCTTATTTCTATGACAAATTCGTGAAGGAAAAGCCGGACATGTTCAGTCTCCTTTCTACTGGTTCATTTGCTTTGACGTCTTTAAGCTTGAAAAGGCAGAATATTCAACTTGGATTTGAGGATGATCTTCTCAAATTTTTCCTGGGTTTTCTCACCATCCAGCTCATGAAGATCAACTTGCTTCTCGCTTTGGTCGGAGCAGCTTTGTGTTACTTCGCCATCGTTCTAATTCCTTGGAGTTTAGGTTCTCCATTGGAGACTGTTAGTTGTATTACTGCCCTCCAAGAGAACGTGGCAATAAAAATTGATTGTCGTGTTTCCGATCTCCGAAAGCAATTGTGTTCCACTCAGCTGGGAATTGTGAATGACAGTGAAAATCCTGAGAGATTCGTTTACCCTTCAGATTTTGAGTCTAGACTCAAGGACGCAATCGCTTCTGGGTTAGTTCAAGAGTGTTACGACGCTTTCATCACTTGGCGAAAACAGTTCCTAAACGACCAGATGACTACTATGGGGTTTCAGAATCTCAGCATCAATGAAGTCCCCAGGTTGCCGATGAAAACCCTCAAAAACGACATCGAAGAATGGACAAAAGCTTGTCATTTGGTCGTTAAGAGGCTGTTTCCTCAGGAACGGCATGCCTGCAGTGTCGTCTTCTCGGCGCTCTCTCCTGGGGACGAACTGTCTTTCATGGAGGTTTGTCGGGGAATAATGGCACGGCTATTGAATTATGCCAAAGCCGTTCTGACCACAGCGCAGTCGCCGGAGCATTTGGTCACAATCGTCGTCGTTTTGGACACATTGGAGGAGATTTTGCCTGACATGGAATCGCTTTTCTGCAATAAGATTTGTGAGTTCCTCTACGATGAAGCTATCGCAGTGAGCAAAAGACTAGGAGAAGCAATCACAGGAGTCTTCATGGAGCTCGAGAATCTGATTGGTCAAGACCCGGCAAAAGTAAATACACACGAATCTCAATGCCTGATCTGCATTTACCAATTCTGATCATTTTTTCGCCATAAGAAATTATATGTTTTGTGTATAATATTGACGCGTAAAATTACGAGCTTCTCCCATCATCCTTTGTTTCCATCTCTAGTCCCTCATTCCATTCGTTCTTCGCTCCCTTGGATCGTAAAGGTGGTTCTCTTTGATGAATAAGATGGCCACCATGTTGCAAGCTCGAACTTGTTTGGAAATGTTTCTACCATTGCTCCCAAAAGAGGAATTGGATAAGCTTTATCAAGAGCCAGAACCTTGGCCATCGCTTCCTTAACTTCCTCGTCGCTGACTTTTTAATTCCGATCGTGAGAGCTTCATCTCGATCTCGTTCTGGAGCTGCCAGAAGAGCCCCGTGTTGTCGCGTTGCTCCTCCGCCAGCTGAGTCTTGTTCATTATGAAAAGCATCCCCGTGGCGGTGGGAAAGAGGAGGCCGGAGGAGAGCTTGAAAGGGGGAAGCGCTGCTCCGTTAGCACCGACGACTCCAGCAATAGTAGATGGGGCGAGGTTGATGGTGTTGATGGAGTTGAGGAGGTGGGTGTTCCGGTTGTCCCGCTGCTCGCCAATGTTGTGGTCCATCTATCTCTACTCGATCGACTACTGCTTCGAGGATCAAGTACGATTCCGATCTGATCAGATCATCGCCGTGAAATTGTGAGACGGTGACGTTGGTTGTGAGAGGGAAGAATTGGGTGGGGGAATATCGTTGGCATTTTTGCCCCAGTTTGAACTTGCCTACGCAATATTTAATGTTGAATCACCTCGAAAAAATACCTGAGCTCTTAAATAATTAAATACTAATTATTATATCATAATATCAAGCCCATGATATTTTCTTATTCGTTCATTCTATGGCACGCAGCTAGCAGGAGCCAGCAGAGGTGGGCTTCATCCGACAAACATTTATGTGATGAACTACCTAAGAGCTGCTTGTCAATGTCGGAAGCAACTCGAAAGAGTTTTCGAGGGCACCCATGTTTCATCGTTGCCATCATCACCCTCGTCTTCCTCTTTATCTGAGCAACTGCTTCGGATTGTGGATTTGCTGGAGACCAATCTGGAGGCTAACTCTAAGATCTATGATAATGACCCAGCTCTGTGCTCTTTTGTCATGATGAACAATATAAGGTACATAGTTCAAAATGCCATGAACACTGAACTTGCAGACCTATTAGGTGGCGATTGGCTGCACAAACACATTTTAAAAGTGTACCAATACCATGAGATTTACCAGAAAAGTTCATGGGATAGAGTGCTCGAACTGTTGAACGTTATGGACTACTCACTTGTTCGATTCGAAAATGCCGGACACAGGTTTGAGTTATTTAAGTTGCAGTTTGAGAAGATTTGTGAAAACCAGTCTCGATGGGTTATCTGTGATGATCACCTTAGAAATGCCATTACGAGTTCACTGAGGAGAACTATGTTGCCTGCCTATGAGAATTTCATGATCGAGTTCCTAAATGACGTCGAAACTGGAGATTTCGGAGTCCCAGTTATAGAGGGTCAAATAAACCAGCTGTTTCTGGGAAAATACGAGCAAACAAACCCCAGGTAATGAGTGTGTGTGTGTGTGTGTGTGTGTTTTTGGGTATTATTACCCAGAATCATTCGTAGGTTTTCCTATTGGTTCCCTTAAGATATCAAAGCATAATCTGATTGTACGATGAATCTGGTGCAGCAATATTTAACCGACATGGACGGTGGTGTTACCGAGTGCAAAAGATTTTCATGAATGGGAGGAGTATGGTGAGAAGACGATCCCCAGTTGAACACACCCAAGGTAATTTCATAAACTGTGCAAATTAAAGGATTATATCGACTTATATAAGTGCAATTTTCTTTCTGGGATAGTAAACCTATCCACTTTAATTTATTGCTCCCAACTTGTACGCCTTTCATTTATGTAAGTCGGATGTTAATGTGAAATTTATAAACATTTATATGCTGTGGGGCGACAAAACATGTTCAGCAAGTACAAGATAACCCAAGGTTGCACAAGATTCGCTACTCTGGCTTCCGCACATGTTGCTTTTAAAGGCTTAACAATTATACTGAGCTGTACGGAGGACGAACCAAAATGGATCCTTCAAGTATATGAATGTTGTTAAGTTTCTTGAAGTAGTTAATTACTGTGTTTTTGGTATTAAATTTGTAATAACAGAGAGCGTGCAAGACTGGTCAAGGCAACGGTTCAAAATGGGGTCAGACTAATTGTAATTAAAATAATTTAACTAAAATGCACAAAATATTTAGATTTAAATATAAAAATAATATTTAGAAGAAAAAAAGGCATTAGGCTCACACATACCATTAGTAGACCACTCAAGACTTAACTGTGAAGAAATTAAAGATGTGCTCTTTGATCAAACCTCTTCTCTTCTCTTCTCTCGGTCAGGAGGCGGACGTTGACGAAGGATGGGATTTTTTTTGTTTTACCAGTGCTCTTTTTTTGTTAGTTCAATGAAGGTTCAGTTCTTATACAAAAAAAAAAAAAAAAAAAAAAAGCGCAAGAAATTCAAGATGTCGGTCTGCGTATGGCCGTAACACAATAAAAGCGGAAAAAGGGTTTTGAATATCAGCGTCACGAGCCTTCCATCATCCTAATGACCTAAAAGAGGAGAAATTCTTGTGTACTTTCGAGGTGCCACTTCACCCCTTCTCTCTCCTGCCACGGTGCCCTCTCCCAGTCAAAGCCAGACTTCCCTTCCTAATCCCCCTCACGCCCACGCAAGCGACGAATCTCTCCTGTAACTGATTTGTGCCCATAATTATGAGTCTAATCACAACTTGGAGGAAGCAGCAGAGGTAGCACAAGTAACTAATTCCCTTCTCAATATTTTGTCTCGTTTTCTTGTAAGGCAGATTCTCATCCCTTCTCTCTCTCTCTCTCTCTCTCTGTGCATATGTATACACGCACGCGCGCATTTATCCACCGGTACAGGCTTAATTAAGGGAAAATGACAGTAAAATACCTTCTGAATTTTAAAATGACAAATAAGGCATCTAAATAAACAAAATAACAAACAAGGCATCAGGTACCAATCTGGGATTTTGATTTTGAATTTTACAAAACACATAGTGGGATTTACAGCTTTCATAGTGAGAGTTACTTCTTCGTCAATAGGTTTTGCAACATATTTTGAAGGGCTGGGTAAGTTTTGCCGAATTTTACAAATACATAATGAGATTTACAATTTTTATAGTAGGATTTACTACTTGGTCAATAAGTTTTGTAACCTGTTTTGAGGGGTTGGGCAACTTCTCTGTAAAAAAAAATATAATTCCACGCTGAATTTCACAAAACACATAGTGGGATTTATAACTTTCATAGTGAGAGTTACTATTTTGTTAATGGGTTTTGCAACATGTTTTGAGACCAAAAATCAAAATTTCATATTGATACCTAATGCCTTATTTGTCATTTTGTTTATTCGAATGTCTTATTTGTCATTTTAAAATTCAGAATGTATTTTATCATCATTTTTCCCTTAATTAATCAGGAGCAGTAATTAAGTACCTGCTTTGCCACAAAATCCATAACCTCGATCAAATGCACTAATATTGGTAGTTCACTATTTTTTTCTTTTCTCTTTTTTTAGTGATACGGACAAGAGGTGAGCTTTCCAAGCTACAATTCTACTTTTAATCATGTAGAAAGAACATGGTTGCAGATGTGAGATTTGTTCCTGCCTAAATCATGAGGAATATTTGGGCTAAAAACGAACTTGCATTAAGCTTGACAACGGATATTTCATATCATGAGGAACAATTGGGCTAAAAATTGATGAAGATTTAGTATGATTCAGTTCTTTTCCAGGCCAAAAACAACATAAATCCAGGGCTTCTTTAACCGCCTCAAAGCATATAAAACTAAATCTATATATCTTCGAGGACCAAAAATGAATTTATAGATTTCACCTTCTTTTGGTCTGGTTTAAAATTTTTTGTCCCTAAAATAATAAACAAAACCAAAACCAAATCAAATTTTAAGCAACCAAACTATTAGTTTTAGATTTCTGGGACTAGATCCAAAATGATTAACCTTTTAATTTTTAACAAATTAAAATTAAATCTCATCCTTGCCTTGGAGCATAGCACGCAGGTAGCTAGAGGGAACAACGCACACGACGAGCAATTTCTCTTCCTCTTCTCATTGTGGCGACCTTTATTTTTAATTTTCTTTATGGATTTTTTTGGTGGTTAGTGGGGAGGGTTAAAATCAGCAGTCCCTATCATCTGTTATTTAAATTTTCTGATGATTTTTCTTTTCTTACAAAATTAAAGAAAAATAAAATAGAGAGAGAGAGAGAGAGAGATCATGGCTTTTTAGAATGTTAGCAAACATGATAAATATTCCGATCAGGCTTGTAGTGAAAATAAGCTACTTTTAAGCTTGAAAAAAGTTATGCCAAACAGGTTCATTCTCACTTCTATTTAATACCTTCAATTTATATTTTTACTCAAGAAATCACATTAGAGATTGTTATGGTACAATGGTAGGAATTTGCTTCTCTGCCCCTTATTTGATCTCTAACCATCAAGAAAACAAGATATTCTGGAAAAAAAAAAATTATGAGGAAAAAATTATGAATAAAATTGTAAATTGAAGGTATTATTTATTTAATTTTGTGGATTTGGATATAGTTAATTGCATTTTTCAAATCTGTTTGAAGTTACTGAAAAATTATGATGGTTGACCGGTCCAACCTACCAATTATTAATGTTCATTAACACTTCAAAATATTTTCTCAGGTATATTCAACACCCTGAATTATTTTTAAGTGCATTCAGGCCCTAAAATATTTTTTTTAATACATTTAGCACCAAGGCAAAAGAATACTTCTCAATGCTGGAGCACTTGAAAAATATTTTTAGGATGTCAGATACACTACAAAATATTTTCGGGCACCAGATGTACCTGAAAAAATATTTCAAGGTGCTGGATATGCCAGAGGCCAGTGAGAGGGATTTTTTTTTTTTTTTGAAAAAAACCAAAATCTCTA